TTCTGTAAGGTAATTGAAAGAGTTAAAACATTCACGCGTTTGATAACTATTTTCAATTATTCAAGTAAAAAGATTATACCTATTTTACTTTACAAACAATACAATCATAATTACTTGATAAGTTTTATTTGTTTCAACTAATTATCAAAATATTAAATATAAATATCCATTCATTATGAACATATATTAGAACTTTGCATGAAGTACATTTAGTCTTAAATTTATTAAATTCTTGGAATCTATAGCATATAAAATTAAAAAATATAAAACATATTCTGTAAGGTAATTGAAAGAGTTAAAACATTCACGCGTTTGATAACTATTTTTAAATTATTCAAGTAAAAGATTTATCTATTTTACTTTACAAACAATACAATCATAATTACTTGATAAGTTTTATTTGTTTCAACTAATTATCAAAATATTAAATATAAATATCCATTCATTATGAACATATTTTAGAACTTTGTATGAAGTACATTTAGTCTTAAATTTATTAAATTCTTGGAATCTATAGCATATAAAATTAAAAAATATAAAACATGTTCTGTAAGGTAATTGAAAGAGTTAAAACATTCACGCGTTTGATAACTATTTTCAATTATTCAAGTAAAAAGATTATACCTATTTTACTTTACAAACAATACAATCATAATTACTTGATAAGTTTTATTTGTTTCAACTAATTATCAAAATATTAAATATAAATATCCATTCATTATGAACATATATTAGAACTTTGAACTTTTATAAATGAAGATTCATTTAGAATAATTCCAATTATTTAAGATTTATAAATCTAAAATGAATATGATCATGCATAATTTTGTTTATGATAGTTAATAATAAAAGTATCATATTGTTAAAGGATTAATTAAGAAAAAATAAAGTAATTATATTAATCATAATTAGCTTTAATTAACTATGAACACCAAAAAATACAATTAAATTTAATCAATAGTATTTAATTAGGAGAAAATAATACACTCTTTAATATGATGAAAATTGAAGATAAAATATAATTTGAAACGTAAAAATAACAAATCAAATAAAAATTTTTAATGTGTAATTGTAAAAAAACTAAATGTTTATAAAAAAAATGTATATGTTTTTAAAGAGGTAACTTATGTAATGTATAGTGCTAATGTAAAAATTGTAAAAATACAATTTAACACGAACACTCAATATAATCAGCTATTAAATAAAGTAACAAAAAAAATAAGAAAAATAATAATGTTAAATGTAATTGTGTTAATACCAAATGTAAAAAAAAATATTGTAAGTGCTTTTTGAAAGGATAAAAATGTAACTTTAGTTGTAGATGTTAAAATTGTTTAAATTTAGGCATATATACTTTCAATTCATATTAAAGTAAAAGTGATTCTGTTGACTCAAGTATGGATCAATAAATTGTATCAAAAAATAACATTTTTTAATAAAAATTTAAAGTAAAAAAATCAATTGATGATATTTCTTTACCTTTTAATAATAATTAGAATATAGAGTTTGAATAAATTAATTAAGAAATATTTTATGACGAGTGAAAATTAAAATGTGTTAAGTACAAATATCAATTTATACAACTATACTATAATAATTGGTATTCATAAATTTTTTTTCAATTATATACTTATTTTTTAATTTATTTTAATAATCTGCTAAAATATAAAATTAATTTACTTTATTTATTATTTTAAATTACAAACAATACAATAATAATTTTTTATAATTATTATTTGTATCAAC